CACATTAAAAGCATTGAACAAGCTTACTGGGCTGTGGCTCACCCTATATGGGAATATCATTTTCAGGTACAGGAAGCATGCCACCTCCAAGGACATAGCTTGGGAGGCTAGCGGCGGACATAGTGTAGTTGTTTTACTTTTGATGTATTACATGTAACTTCAAGCCAAGGGCTTAATGTGTAAACGAGTTAGTACTCTTTTGTTGAAACCAAGTGTTAACTTGGAAAGCTGTAAGCCCGTAGGGCATTTTGTTTTGATGTTAACATGTAATACTTATGTAATGAAACTCAATGAAATAAAGGAATGTGGTTAGTTTATATGTAAATGCTTGTCTTGTCTGATGGGTTTAATGTTATTATTTTGAGGGCGTTACAATTATCACTTTTTATTTATTTATTGTGTTTCATTTTTTTAATTTTTGTTTTCTAGGAAACACGGGGTTAATTTTTATAGAAATGAGTCAAAAAGTAGATACCCAATATTTAGATAAATATAAAAAGTGAAACAAATTCAAACTCACAAAATTTATACAAAGTGATATGTGTTTTCTTTCCTCCAAATTCCTTGGACACAAATTAAAAAATAAGCCAAGATAGACACTAAAAAGCATTCCTAGGAGGGCAAAAAGGCACACAGCCCTGCTCATCCTCATAACCTTTGACACTTCAGCATTGAGCTCTCCCATTTTGTTCTCTTTTAGGCTCTTTTTTTGGAGTAACTAGTTCAACCTTGTTAGATCAACTTATATTTTTGTCATATACAGCAATGTATATTTATAGGTGTCTTATTAAGTCAACCTTAGAATTCTTGCTCGACACTCACAAGTTCTTACGGTTAGGTATTTGCCTTGCTTTAGAATGGTATTAGTCAAAAACAATGAGGAAAATTACGACGGTAGTTCCTGTATTTTGGTCATTGTGAAATTTTAGTCCTTATAATTTCAATTGGCTCGATTTTGACTCTGAATTTATGACTTTGTCTTAATTTGGTCCAATTGATTTGAACTCTTAGCATTTTTTTTTTATAGAAAATATGCACTTAAGTGTTATGTGTCATATTTTTAAGGGTACAATTATAAATTTACTCAACTCAGTGAGTTAACCTCAACTAACTTAGTGATAATTTTCTTTAAAAAACACTAGTAATATTATCAATTGGACCAAATTGACATAAAATTTAAAATGAATGGTCAAAATTGAGCCAATTGAAAGTGTAGGGATCAAAATGATACAAGAAATAAAATATAGGGATTACTGATGTAATTTGCCCTAAACAATAAACCAACCAAGCATTACAACAAAACCAATAAACTAGTCTATGTAGGCCTATCATAAAATAATTTAAGCTTATTTTAACTTAATTTAGGGCAGATTTTAAAAAGTTTGTTAGGCCATTTTCGACCCCTTAAATTTTTCCTCAAATTTAAGAAAAATGATTCATTCACATAATTCTCTCTCCCCAAACCCTCCCAAATGATGTGACAAGCAAAATATGAAAAGTTGATCTACATTTAAATATTCCTTCAAAACTCTCTTTCTATGCATTTTGTTTTGCCACTTCATTGGAGGGATGATTGTGAGGAGAAGAAATTGTGTGGATGTAGTACTACTACAAATTTAATTAAAAATCTAAGTTTGATTTGATGTGACATTCCAATGGATAGACTTAGGTTTGAACATAAATTTGGGTAAAACTTCAATAATGACATAATGATAAATTTGAAAATTACAAAATGATCTCGAAAAAAATTAAGTATATATATTTAAGTCTTCTTCAAATTGGGTTAAAAAATGAGTAAAACTCAATTTCATATAAATTTGAGTCAATGAGTAGAGAGGTGTTTTGCAAGATTTTTATCCAAATTTAAATTTGATAAACCTTGTTTGACATTAGACTAATATAGTTAAAAAGTTACTATAAATTATTATATCACTCTATTTATTTTTCATAGAAATTAAAAAATAAATTAAAATAACACTTCTCAAACCATAGGGGTTGAAAATGTCCCTAGACGGTGGTTTTCAACTTTTGCTTGTGTGGGAAGATTTTTTAATTGGAAATTTACTTAATTATGGTTCCCATATGAACTGTTCCCCCCACTTATTTCTCTCCTACTCTCGAATCTTTGTGGCTAATAAGGACAAAAAAGGTAATTACAGAATGGGGGTGATGGAAAAAACTTAACCAATGCAATCATGAAAGCTACATTGGACAGTAAATCTCGAATTTTAAAAAGAAAATTGTTTAGGAGGTCTAGAGAAAGAGCTTTAGAGAGAGCTTTAATAGTAGGTTCTACTATATGATATGATTTTTTTTTTTTGCTTTGTCACATTACTAGAGCTCATATTAGAGCTCTAATTTTAGAGCTCTTAATCACTTTCCTTCTAAAAATTGCCTACAAATCACACGTATCAATTAAGTCTGAGAAACATTAGTAAGAATCGAACTTGATATATTTGGGTTTACAGTTCATTCTTAGGGTCTATCCTTTTGCCACTAGGCAAAGTCATTCATTTACATGATCACATTTTTACCATATCATTTATCACAATTGCCTTGAAATTGTCCCTAGGGCTGGAACCAATTTAACCAATGCAATCATGACCATGAGATGGTAAATGTCATTAAAAAATAAATAAATGTAGTATTATTGGCCATTCATTAATCATATAGATAAAAAAAAATAATTATTGTATCTTTATATTGAAATGTATGTTCTATTATTAATTATTTTTATATTTACGTATTACCTGTATTAGTTGCGTTCCCCCCTCCCAAACTAGATCATAATATTTATCTCAAACTTCTAAGATTACTTGTGCCAAACGGAACTTGCCTTTTTTTATTGGACAAATTACATCAGTGGTCTCTAAAATTTTCACATTGAATCAATTCCATAATATCTTAGCAAAACACCATTGACAAAAAGATTTTTTTTCCAAGTAATATAAGAAAATTTACAAACAATTCCATAAAGAACTTGGTTAAGTTTTTATTTATTTTAAAGGAGGAAAAACTTGGATCAGTTCTATTGCCCAAAATAGTAAATAACATGCAATAGAGATAAGGAGGTGATAATGAAAAAGATGAAATCTCACAATAGAGATAAGGAGGTGATAATGAAAAAGATGAAATCTCACAATCTGCAGCGGTTGCAGCCGCAACAAAAGTAATGGTCTCTGGTTGTGACCTTCTCAGCAACGGACACTAGTCGAATCTCACGGCCTTACCCCAACTGAGCCCCACTGTCGAACGAACCCCCTTTGTTTTTTCCTGTCGAACCATCAGTCAAACAAAAACCATCTCTTTCTACAATTGAGATCCACGTGTGTTTATTTAAGTGAGTTAACTCACTGAGTTGGTTGAATAATATACAAAATATTAAATTTACAATTTTACCCTTTAAAATAAGGCATGTGACATGCACATGGCCAATTTCCGTGAAAAAACTTAACTACCATTTTCAATTGGGACAAAAAGAGACAATATATAAAGTTCAAGGTTAAAATCGAGTGATTTGAAAATATAGAGATTAAAATAACACAAAAGTATACCATATGCATTATTTTAAGGGTGAACATCGTAGCATCTTCCTTTTCTCTATGCTGATTGTTGGTATGGTGTGTAGGATTGGCTGATGCCTATTGAAATTGTGATAATTGATTTAGATCCCTTTTGGGTCATTATCTGGACTGCTGAAATCAATGTGTAATTAGGAGCTGATCATCGGCATTTGCATCTGCATATATGAAAACTTATGATATTTTGGTTACATTGACAGTTTTATTGCTTTGGCCTTTGTTTGTGTGTGGCATTTACCCATATGTATATATATTTTAAATTTTTAGTGATTTTTTTCTTGCTAAATTATGTCTATTTTTTTTTTATGTTTTTGGTTTGTCTTGTGTAGACAAATCTAAAAATAATAAAAATAATAAAAAAAATTTAAAAAAATCCTAAAGACAAAAACAAGTTACAAAAAAATAAAAAGTCGACTTATTTTGTTTTTTTTTTAAAAAAAAAAATCCTTTTCGGACTTTTTTTTCAAAATTTTCAAATGTTTTGATCTTTTCTAATTTCTCTAGTTGAGTAGAATTCAAGAGTGTAACACTTTTTAATTTTTTAAAAAAAATAAAAATTATTAAAGATGAAAAAAAATCAACAAAAAGTTATTAAAAAAGCCAACCTTAAACACTTGTAAATTGGTTAAAACTCAATTGACACAAATAGATAGAGAATAAAACACAGATCTTTGGCAAGGATTAATCATTAACAAATTAAACAAAAAGTAGTGCAAGTTGAGAAACATACTTGTACATTACTCATATTACGTACTTCTCCAAAATCATTAAAAGCTTTGATGCAAGTAAAGATTACTACAATGTGAAGAAAAACATGAATAGCTGAACCTATATGTGAATTTGACTGTGGCACAATAGCTCTCTATTTTGATAAGGTTTTTGTTGGTGATATCATTACTATATGTATATCATTGTTGGAGCATTTTGCTCAATTCTCAAAATTAAAACTAGAATCCATGGCCTCAATTGGCAAAAATCATAGAATTCACCAATAAAAGGAGAATACTTACATATGCAAAACACAGTCTATAACATATTCTGGACAATATGATAGTTCACAAGTCATTTATTTAAGGAAAGACTTACTTTAGAATATTTTACAAAAGACACAATCATCAAACCCCATCAACATATATACTAGAACTATAGAATTATTCAAACTTATTTCTTTCCAACAACTCAAGAAAATCCATAACATGATCTCAATGCTGCTTCCTCTGAGGGTCCTTTCTCCAGCTGAATATAAGACCCTTCAATGACAGCAAAGCATATAACAAGCATATTAGTGGATGATAACATGGTTTCTCTGAAATAATGCAACAAATGACTTCCGAAAAAATATTTGAGAAATGTATTTGCATTATTTGAACTATATAGCAACAAACCTGCATTTGTTTCAATGTTTTTAAGCATGTGACAAAGAATTTTGGCGCTTTTGGTAAAGAAATTTGGTGGAATTTAATCTGTACTTTGCTATATGATCTTGAATGTAAGACATGTTTTGATGATAATCTGGAAATATCACTACCTCCACTTCAAAATATGAATGGTTATTCTTCAAGTTGTGATGATGTTCCAAAAATCATTAACATGAATAGAATTGTTATGTTAATGATGGTATGGAATTGAAAAAAATTCTAAAGATTCATGCAAGATAAATCATGGGTTATGAAGATGTTGATTTGATGCACACATTGCAATCAAGACAAGATACAGAGGCAATATAGTTACATGAGAGAGAAAGAGAGAGAGAGACACGAACCAATTGGGTGATAAATTCATCCTCCAAATTTGCCTTTGTTGAACATCCTCCTTAGCTGAGCGAGCTTGATTGCTATGTTTATTGATATCCAATTGTAGTTGTTTTCGATGAACTGGAAGTATACATACCTCCAAGACTTCTTGAAATTCAAAGTGCCACAGACCCCCAAGAACCCAACCAGGAAACCAGGTCCAATGCCAGTGTAGAACCACAAAAAATCAGTTTCATCTGCAACTTTACTCTCATCAGCATGTTTGTGATCACCATCAGATGATTTATCATCGAGGCAGCTGTTTAGTGGTGCACCACAAAGGCCATCGTTGCCTATATAAATGGAAGGATTGTCGAGAGTTTGAAGTTGATTTCCTGTTGGTATTCGCCCTGATAAATTATTGAATGACATGTTCAAATGACTTAGGTAGCTTAAATTGGACAGACTTGGAGGAATGGGGCCAGAAAGTTTGTTTCGAGACAAATCAAGAGATTCCAATTGTGTCAAATTGCCAATATTATTAGGGATCCTTCCTTTTAGATGATTTCCAGATAAATTCAAGTTCAGCAACCCAGAAAGATCCATTAACTCTGCTGGAACCTCTCCAACAATGCCATTGTTCGAAAGGTCCATGGAGACGAGAAATTCGAGTGTCTTGGTGTATTCCAGTTCTCTTCCTTTCATTGAATCCAAAATGTTCTCTTCATAATAATGAAGGTCTTCTGTGTCAGTTGGATCTAGTGCAACCATGGAAGTGAAGTCGCCAAAACAACGAGGGATATTTCCTGTTATGTTATTTTGTGCCAAGTTCAACAATTGCAAATGTTGGAGATGACAGAGTTGCGGAGGAATATCACCATAGAATTTATTTGATTGAAGATTGAGAAATTTAAGACCAGTTAGGTTGTATCCAATCCATGGAGGGATATTATCAATGAACACATTTTCACCTAGATCAATGGTGACAAGAAAGGTCGAATTCTGTAAGGACAAAGGAAGCTTCCCATAAAACTTATTGTTACGCAAGTGCAAGGATTGTAGTTGTGGGTAACCCAATGAACTTGGAATTTCACCATATAGACTATTATTCGTCAAATCTAGCACGACCAAGTTATCCAACTGCCACAAGCAAGGAGGAATTCTTCCTGATAACTGATTGTTTGAGAACTCAATAAAAGCTATATTCTTTACCTTGCACAAAGACACTGGAATGACACCAGTCAAATGGTTATTTGAGAGATCTAACACATAAACATCTGAAGGAAGCGGTGTTAGTGGGCCCTTAAATCTGTTAGAACTCAAATCTAACCATCTATTATCAATATATCTATATTTAAATTTTTGACATATTGGCAGCTTTCCTTTGATCTGGTTGTTGGAAAGATCCAAGCTTTTAATGCCACAATAAATACTCTCAAACCAATCAGGAATGACAACTGAGATGCTTGCATTAGACATGCCTAAGTCTCTAACATTTTTTTGTGTTTCGAGCCATTGAGGAAATTGGGGTCCTACTTTGATGGATGACAATTGTATGTCTTGGAGTTGAAAGGGAGGAACCCATTGGGAGGTCACATTCAAAACTAATGAATTTGAATCCAAGTACAATTCATTTAAACTCTCTAGTTTGGCGAAGTGAAGTTCGAATACGGTGCCAACAAATAAATTGTTTGACAAATCTAGAGATTCTAGTTTTGAAAGTTGTCCAAGACTAATTGGAATGCTCCCATTCAATTGATTGTATCCAGTATCTAACTCTCTCAAATATGATAGTCTTCCGAGTGATGATGGCAGCGGGCCATAAAATGAATTCATTCTAATAATAAGCCTCTCTAGTTTCTTAAACTCTCCCAAATGGTTTGGCAGACCACCACTCAACTTATTGAAAGAAAGAGACAAATCTGCCAAACTATTATGGATGCAACCAAATGGACTTCCAATAGAAGTTGAAAGCTTTCCAGCGAACATGTTTTCGGACAAATCCAATACACGCAAGTTGCAGAGGTTCCTCATGGAGTTTGGTATTTCACATGCAAATGCATTCGAATAGAGGTGAAGCTCTGTAAGTTGTGTCATATTTCCCATCTCACTTGGAATTGGACCCTCAAACTGATTCTGAGAGAGGTCAAGCTCTTTAAGTTGTGTCATATTTCCCATCTCCCTTGGAAATGGACCTTGAAACCCATTATTATGGAGGTCAAGCTCTGTGAGTTGTGTCATATTTCCCATCTCACTTGGAATTGGACCTTGAAGTTGATTGTAATTCAACCTGAGGATGGAAAGAGAAGCAAGATTCCCAAGGCAGTGGGGGATTGCACCGCTAAGGCTATTATAACTAAGATCTATATGGACAAGACTGCTCAGGTTACACAAAGAATACGACATTGAATCATTGAAGTCGTTACTTGAAAGGTCAAGGACTGTGAGAGAGGTCAACCTTCCAAGTGTATCAGGAATTGGACCAGGTAAATAATTATAGCTAAGGTTGAGATACTGCAACCTTGAAAGATTTCCCAGATGAGGAGGAATCGTTTCATCCGAAATTGACGAAGAGAGGTCAAGGTATCTCAAGCTTTTCAAAGAAGCTAAGGAATTAGAAATTTGCATATTGTTCATGCTCAAGTCTAGGTAATGCAAATGATTCAAATCGAGTAAGGAAGGACTTACCTGACCACTCAATTCGTTCATTTTGAAAATTGGATCATCGTAGTAAGTGGTGTGTCCAAACTTTGCAGGAATTGGATTGCGCAGATCAAGCTTTACGACATGGCCTGTTTTATTGCTACAGCCAACTCCCTTCCACGTACAGCAGTCTTTTCCAACCCACGAGGATAAACGGTTTGCTTTATCTGTGAGATTTCCTTTGATTTTCATCAGAGCTTCTCGCTCACTCGCTATGCAACTCACATTTGAATTTGTACTACTACAAATGAACTCAAGTCTTGCAATGAAAAAAAGAGCAAATAACATTACAAGAGCACTAGAGGTTGTGCCCATAGCTTCTGAGTGTGGAATGTAATTCTTTGATGCCTGTGTTGAAAGACTAGAGTTTTATAGACTGTATAAGAAGACTCGATTGTTTTGGAAAGTCTCAAGTTAGAGTTTTATAGACTGTGTATAAGAAGACTTGATTGTTTTGGAAAGTCTCAAGTCATGAGCAGCTAGTTATAATAATAATAATTATTATTATTATTATTATAATATAATGTATATAATTAAAAATTATTAAAATTTGTAAATAAGAATACATTTACGTCCAAGTCAAGTCATCAGTTGTCTACCATTCCGTGTTCTTCTTGGGGTAGAAAAGAAGGCCATTCCGTCTTTTGGGTGTAGAAACTCTTGCCTTTAGTCTTTGGTGTGTCCGGTTCATATTGGACAAAGAGCAAGTTGGTGGGATTGTTAAGATATGGATACAATGTTTTGTATATTTTGTAAAATCGTTATGAATTTTTATATTAATGCAAATTATTATAATTATGTTAGAGCATCCACACTAAATTTTTCAAATTTTTAATCAAATTAAAATTATTTTGTTATTTTAGCTAGTCACATCTTAGCATCAAACTCTCTATTTTAACTTATTTTTATTAAAATATTATTTTTTTTATTGTGTTTGTTAATCTTTCTTTTTTTATTAAATTGATAAGTTACCAGCCAAACAATTCTTAAAAAATGCAATAAATAAATAAAAATAAAAATTTGCTGTTGATCGGCTGACTGGCCGGATGTCTGGCTGGACTTCCAGGCGGACATCTGATAACACTTATCTACTGATGAACAGTACCTCGCTTGTTGTAGCGAAATACTATAGCAAACATAAATTTTGATGAGCTCCAAACGAGTTTGATAGAGTTGATTTTTTTGAAGTTTATTAGCTAAAAAATGATTTTTAAGAACTTGATGAGGATGCTCTTACGAATAGATGCCCCCATAAAAGAAGTCGTAGTTACAAATTATTATGGTTTTATAACAAACTAATATGATAATGTTATGAATATTAAAATATTACTTACTATGATGGTGAAAAAGTTATTACCTATTGTGATTTTGTTAGCAATTATTGTAGTGTAGTTTTGAAAAGACCTATTATATGCATTTTTAAGAGTGTACTATAGTTATGCTCGTTCTATTTTCTAAAAAAAAAGGGCGAAGTATTTTCATCTTTTATTTATTAGTATATGATAATTTCAAAATTTTGTGTACATATTTATAATGAATTGTGTGATATTATTTCTCATTTGCATTTTTCTAGAGGTAAATTATTAAAATTTAAGTTTATGAAATACAATTTTGTAATTATTTTTAGCTTTCTTTTAATAGTGATTTGTTTATTTTAGTCATCTAAATTAGACCTGATCCAACTTCTTAGACTTATTTAATACGTTACTTTTGACTCCTCTAATAGTGTAATCCTGACTTTGCCCCTAATTGTAAAAAAGAGCAAATAACATCAAAAGAGCAGTAGAGGTTGTGCCCACAGCTTGAGTGTGAAATGTAATTTGATGCTAGTATTGAAAGATTCGTTTGGTTTGTATTTCTGAAAAATTTTTGAAAATTTTTTTCTACAAATAAGTTTTTAAAAGTAATCAAACCAAACAAATTTTTCCAAAAAAATTTCTCAAAACTTGTAAACCAAACAAGTTTTCCAAACAAATCTCTCTCTCACACACATCAAATCAATCACTTTTTCCAAAACTCTCTCTCAAAATAATTTTCCAAAACATCTTTTGAAAAAAACCAAACCAAACAACTTTTCGTACTTTTTATCTCTAAAACACATCTCTCAAACACAAACCAAACATACCCTAGGTCCTTTGTTTGGTTTTGAGAAATAAATTTTGGAATTTTTTTTTTTAAATTTTGTTTGGTTTAGTACTTTTAGAAAAAAAAATATTTTAAAATCACTTTTTTTCTCTCATCTCTCATTCTCAATCACTTTTTCTCTCACACATATCTATTTAATTACAACAAAATATCAAATCATCCCAAACTCTCATACTCTAAAACTATTTTCAAAATATACAACCAAACAAATCAAAAAAATTTCTAAATTCTTTTCTCAATTTTTTTTTTTTAAATTTATCTCCCAAAACCAAACAAAACAAGACCTGGGTATGTTTGGTTTGTGTTTGTAGAGTAGTTTTTGAGATAAAAAGTACGAAAACTTGTTTGGTTTGCCTTTTTTCAAAAACGATTTTAGAAAATTGTTTTGGGGAGAGAGTTTTAAAAAAAGTGATTGATTTGATGTGTATGAGAGAGAGAGTGATTTTGGAAAGTAAGTAACCAAACAAAATTTTGAAATTTTTTTTGGAAAATTTTGTTTGGTCTGATTACTCTTGAAAATTTGTTCGTAGAGAATTTTTCCTAAATTTTTTTTCTGAAAAACAAACCAAACAAGTTATAAACTGTACAAGAAGACTAGGGCCTTGTTTGGTTTGGTTTTGAGAAACAAATTTTGGAGAAAATTTCTTAAAATTTTGTTTGGTTTAGTGATTTTAGAAAAAAAAAATTCAAAATCACTTTTTATCTCCTACATATCAATCATTTACTTTTTCTCTCTCTTCTCTCTTTCTGAACCATTTTTTCTTTCACACAGATCTACTCAACTATAACAACATATCAAATTATCCCAAACTCCGATACTCTAAAACTATTTTCAAAATATACAATCAAATAAATCAAAAAAATTCTAAACTCTTTCTCTCTTTTTTTTTATTTTTTTATTTTTAAATCCTCTCCCAAAACCAAACCAAACAAAACTAGATAGTTTTGAAAAGTCTCAAGTCACGAGCACCTAGTTGTAATTATTATTATTATAATATAATGTATATAATTAAAAATTATTAAAATATGTAAATAAGAACACATTTATGTCCAAGTCAAGTCATCATTCCCTCTTCTTGGGGGTTGAAACTCTTGCCTCTAGTCTTTGGTGTCTCAGGTTCATATTAGAGAGAGAGCAATGATAGAATTACCAAATAATTTCTCAAAGAAATTACCAAATGTTCACATAAGGTGTGAGATAGGGATACCAAAAAACATACATTTATATCAGTTACATATTGCACAAGTTTGTACAAGTGCTTTTTGTAAGTAAATTTAATGGTGTTAGTGTTACAAATTAATCTAAAATTATGTGAGGAGTATATGATTATTTAAAAGAAAAACAGTTAGAGTGAGTCAAACAAAAATGAGGTAAAATATTATACATAAAGAGCCTCTATTTTAATGGAGTTTTAGGGGGTTGTGGCTTGCTAAGTTTGTGAGATTGCTAAGATATAGGTATAATATTTTGTATATTTTGTTGAATCGTTATGAGTTTTTATAGTGTTAATATAAATTATTATAATTATGTTACGAAGGACTGCCCCATAAAAAAAGTTTTAGTTACAAATTATTATGGTTATATAATAACAAATTAATATGAAAAAATTATTTAATTATTGTGATTTTGTTACCAATCATTATAGTGTAGTTTTGAAAAGGCATATTGTATGTATTTTTAAGAGTGTACGATAGTTATGCTCATTTTATTTTTTGAAAAAGAAACCACCAAAGTATTTTCATATTTCATTTATTATTATATGATAATTTCAAAATTTTGTGTACGCATTTATAATTCATTACCATTAATTTACTAGATGAATTGTGTGATATTATTTCTCATTTGCATTTTTCTAGTGGTAAATTACTGAAACTTAAGTTCATGAAATACATTTTTTAAATTATTTTTAGCTTTCTTTTAATAGTGATTTGTTCATTTTAACTGTCTAAATTAGACTTGATCTAACTTCTTAGACTTATTTAATACTTTACTTTTGACTCATTTAGTGTAATCCTGACTCCGTCCCTAATTTAATGGTTCATCCTGGGCGTAGAAAAACTCAGAAACGGCTTAACTTGTGCACTGCAATTTTAAACATCAACTTCATGAAACTGTATAAGATGACTTGATGGCTTCAAAAAGTTAAACACCTAGTTAATTAATGGGTCAGGTTTGTGTTCCGTGGTTGTTTTAATAATATAAATTGTTCACTTTATTAGGTTTGTGTCCCGTGCATGGTGACATCATTAAATAATTTAATTACACTTATAGTTTTACCCTTTAAAATTGTGTTCAATTACATAAACAAAATACAATTCATATTTTTTCTTTGTTATAGTTGCAGTTATGGTTGATTAGTGTTTGGGAAGTTTGTGGGTTAGGTTTTTTTTAATTTTTTTATTAAAAGACAAACTTTTTTGCAAAATCAAAAAAAAATAAATCTAAATAATATATCACATCCAACCTCATAATCATTTCACTTTTTCTCTCACAAACATCACATCCAATTACAAAAAAATCCAACTATTTTTCCAAACACCAAAATTTTTTTATCCAATAATATCTTACAACTAAAAAAATCTACATAAAAATCCACTTCCCAAACACCCACAATGTATGTCTCCTTTATCCAAAATCCCAATAGGAATTATATGTATATATATATATATATATTTTTAATTTCTTCTGTAATCGACACATTTTAAAAAGGTAAACTAAAAATATAAATTAAATTTATTTAAATAATATTGAGCATTTTTTGGTTTCTTATTTTATAATAAAGAAACAGTTAAAAAAGAATTTATAATAAAAACTAATTATAAAGTACAAATAAATAATTAAATAAATAAACAAGAAATGGAGAAAATCAATGAACTGATCGGAGGTCAATTGGTAACAAAAAGAAGAAAAGAAGATTGGAAGCTCTAAATTAAGAGCTCTAATAACTCTAATTAGTATGTGGGGTATCATATGACTGCGAATGTTGGACTTTAATTTTTTTTTTTTTTTTTTTTTTTTTTTCACATCATTGGTCTCAAATTAGAGGAATGTATCATTTCTGTAAAATAAAAATATGAAATAATTGTACTTGAAAACTTACGATACAAAAATATTTAAGAGCTTTAAATCAAGAGTTCTAAGGAAGGTCTAATAAATGGTTCTCATCCATTAATATGATGTTTTGATCTTTATTTATTTATTTATTTTTTTTTTTCACTACCAGCTTTAGCTACCGCTTGCA